GTTTTCCTGCCTAACCTCACTACTCATGTCAAACCTTGTGATGCTGGTATAATCCATGCCCTCAAAGCTAAATATTGCAAACAATACTTGCACCAAAGCCTCCGACAGCTCTCATTGAAAGTCAAAACAGCCAACATCTACAAAATCAACATACTCACTGCCATGCGACTCTGTAAGCACGCATGGACTGCAGTCTCTGGCAAAAAAATCAAGAATTGCTGGCGCCAGACTGGAATCATGGAATTTAATGACAATGTCCAGTAAGTCATTTATTACACCTCAAAGTCAAAAATGCTCAAAATAGCACATCACCGATTCTCAAGTTGTTCTTTATCTAGGATCATCAATCCAATTGTGAATATAGAGAGTGGTCGCAAAGATGATCTCCAGCACCTTCAGGATGCTGGTTTACTTGCACCTGCAAACCAAATGTCTGCTACTGAGCTTATCTTTCCGGAAAATGAAACCCCACAATTCCTTGACTTGGAAACCCCGGAGGAAGTCTTTGCAAGATTTGAAGAGGTGAAAGAAGATGAAGACCCCAAACAAAATGCTGAAACTGAGCCTATACCCACAAGTGCTCAGGCAATGTCAGCAATCTCGATGCTCCTTGCTTATATTGAGGGAACCGATCTTGACACTCCTCTCCGTGCACTTGAAAACAATGTTGATTCATATATCAAATATGCCAACAAAAAACAAAAGTGTTACCTTGGACTGCTTTGCACCAAAAAAAGTCACTTAAACCTCTGCTCTTATTTGGCTTCTCTACACAGTCATCGAATCTACATACACACATTAATATCATGTGCGCTTATCAGTTGTACAAGCGCTGCAGTCAAAAATTTGATGCTGAAAAACTATCACATCCAAAGACATAATATTATGTCATAACACAGGATTAGATCATATGGCATGGAATCATGCCATATCACAGTAATAAACTTAAACACATAACAATATGGCATATCACAGCAAATTGTCATAAGGCTTAACCTGTGTTAAGGCATACAAAAATGGTCAAACCAGGGGTATGCCTTATGACAGGTTTGACTGTATATAACTTTGTTGACTATACCCCACTACCAACTTATTGCAGCGACCTGATTGTTAATGGAAAGATCTGTGTGGATGCTACCCTCATGGGCAATGATAGAGAAACCAAATTCTTCATTGCTGAGGTATGTTGCGACTAGCAATGACAATGGACCAAGCTGATTGTTCCAATCTTCTAGATCAAACATTACGGCATCATTGCAACAGCCATTTCACTCATTCAACCCCACAATTGAACTTTTGACAACAATATTACACCACTGAACTAATTCTTTTAACTTCTTCTCCACTTATCAATAATGTACCAAGTCAATTGTTCATGTTACATCTTATGCAAGGGATCCATGTTATTTGTCCTATTGTTGCCTTTTGATGATTCTGTTTGTGTATGCATTAGACTGATGCAAAAATGGTGTCACATGGCCATTTGGTGCTTTCATTTTGCCATAAAACCAATGCAATGCAAAAGCCCGGGAGCTCCATGAAGAATTCCAGATTAAAAGCAAGTTTCCATTTCACAACTCAAAAGCCATACTTGAAGAGAGCATCATCTTTTTTTCTAGACTTTTAATGGACTAAAATTTCAATCATAATCTAGCTCAAATTCTTGTTAAGAGGATTTGTTCTTTCTGTTTTTTTGAACTTTACAAAAGTACAATGTCTTTCATTATTCTGATTCCTTTTCTAGATATACACCAATCAAATGTTTTAAATAAGTGCTTTTACTCAAAAGTATAAGAAAGCGCTTTCACTTAAGAGTGAAAGAAAAAGTGAGCAAAAGTCCTTTCACTCCACTCAAATGAAACCAATTTTGGTTCTGGCTGGTCATGCTTTTCTTCTCAAAAGAATATAGATACCCCCAAAAAATTGCCCACATCTTATCAGGACATTCACCATCAGTTTAAGTTTGTTAAATGGCAGGGTGCCAAGATTGATGAACCTGATATTTACTTTTAGTCACGAGTTCTCTTTCAGGAGAGCTTTCCTGGAAGGCAGTGCACCAAAACCAGTGAACTCCCAGTTTATTCGCTTGGTCTATCATTTATATCATTATCAGTTTGCTATCAAAGATGAAGGTTTTTTGGACAGCAGGGTGCCAAAACAATGAACCCATTGTTGTTGCTATCAACCCAATTTAACTGCACAAATATATTGATATTGAGATGCAAAATACCAGACTAACACAAACAAGAAACACCGCAGCCCTACAAACAATCAATACTAATGACCTCTGCTTCCAAACATACAAGAAGCGCTGTACTTCTGAACACAGTCTTTCTATTTGTAATGATGAAAGTTCAACACAAAGAACCACCAACTTGAGTGGAACAGATCATATCTGACACCCCGTCATCAAAACTTGCTTCATCCCCCCTTGCATGGGATTTGGATCCATAATTTTCAACCCCATTGCTGAACCCCTTGGTCAAAATACTTCTGGGTGGACTGGAAGTAACCCTATGACTTGACACAATGGAGAGCACTTATGTGAATTTGAAAAAAAACATATGCCCTCCTCCCTTGTGTTTTTGGCTGACCACCACATCTTGGGACTGAATTCCACAGCAGGATAAAGGGAACATTCAAAGATCAGTCCAGCCATCACACGTAGGCAACAATTTCAAAATGACAAACTTGTGGTCCACCATCTGGAATCCTGAGAGGAGGCGTCCTTTGGCAGATATTTCACTCAACAAAGCTTCACCTTTGTACAAGTTAAATGTCCAGTGCGACCAAGCTTGAAGGGCCTGATAGAGAAGATCATCATCTTCGTGGATGAGTTTGGAAATCTGGCTGACATTTCTCTTGGGATTCTCATTCTGGGCTGTTTCAATAGCCCACAGGTCTTTAGGCCAGGGTGATGCCATTAAATTTTTCAATGCTATGAAAGTTCAAACCACCTAGAAACACACTTTATTTGGTCAGTGTGCTTGCAGATAGATACAGTACAATTGACATGGCTCACCTGAAACTTTGCAATGATCTCAGCCGGAGGCTAAGGAAACCCAGGATGTCCAGGTACAAAGTTTTGGAAGTCCACAAGAAGCTTGGCTGCCTGGACATTTATCTGGAACTCCTCCAGGTAGTTCAAAAGGGAGGTTCCTTTCAAGTGACGTCTGGCGATAATATTGATGATGGAACTTTCAAATAGGATTTGCCCACCGTTCCGCTCTACTAACGTACTGGAAGGGAATATGTTACTTTTGTCGGAATGAAAGCTGGCCCGCCAAGGTTTGATCGAAATACCTGCCTTTTGAAGACTTTTAAACATAGGGTCACAGTTTTGAGGCAATTCAATGGTAAAGTTCGGGTCCTGAGCTACCAGTTTACAGTGCAAAGCAAGTAAAATGATATTCCTCCAAAGTGGTACACGTGTAGTGTTTGCCCAGGTAGTGGAGATAGGAATGGTGATTTCCTCCAAAAAACACAGGTTGGGAATGTTATTATCAAATCTAATATATAGATACATCAAACAGACTTGCATGAGTGTGCGGTCCTCATTTCAGTTTGTCCATCATATGGTGTATTTGCTTTTCTTGTTTCCTCATTTTTCTCTGTTCCTTGGTTGCCTTTTTGATGTTTTACTGTTTCTTTGCTTTTTTACACTTTCCTTATTGCAATATTGTGCTTTTGCTCTGGAAACCGTGCTACTTTTCCTTTTATTGGCTCTTCAACCGTTGTCAAAAGCTCCCTTCTTTGGTGGTCCGTACCAAGTACACCGCTTTGCCTTGCGCTTCCTTTGCAATTCTTTGGTGGCATGTATATTCCTTGGGTTCAATTATCCCTATACATTCCTTTGGTTCTTGGTACGCCTGTCCTCTCCCCAAACTGTCACATACCCCTACTCATTCCCTTTTTTTATCTGGCTTACACTCATATTCCAAGTTTGACTCAACTCCTTTATATTGCCATCTTTCTTTGAATAAAGTCTACTATTGGACCTTGTGGTATCCAAATTTTTCTCAAGGTGTCCGACGTATGGCTTTTGATCACACCTCCACTTGAAACAAATCTTTTCCTACTACACTTCACAATGGAAACCTTCTGTAACCCTTCCACTAAAGCAAAGTCCTGTACTTCAAATGTCTCCAGTCCAATGAATGTATACAAGGTCGTGAGTTACTAATGCACTGCATTTACTACCTTTCACCTTATTACACACCTTTGCTTCCTGCTTTTTAGCTAGCAACCTAGAGTTGCTCCACCTACCCTTTGTGTGATTCCCATTCATCAATTGTTTGGGGGGATGGAGGAAGAGTATTTTAGAGAGGTTCTTGGATTCTCTACAAATCTTGAGGTGGTTCTGTCGTGCTTCCAAAGTTTGATACATCTTGTAAACAAAAGTACATAGTTTATGAGATCTGTGACTTGCTGGGATAAGGGTGTTGAGCTGTACTCAAAGTATCATATTGTTATTAATCGGCACTTTTGCATTGAGTGCTATGAAGGAACACTGTACCTAGAGGGATTGTAGACACCCTATGTATTGCACTCTGGAATATAAGTACGTCTGATTAAGGTGGATCTTGTCACATCAAGTATAATTGTTGCAAAAACTGGGGTTGCAAGTTTGGTGTTTGGCAATTGAAGTGTTGCAGGCATGCCCGCATGTTCTCTAGTTTTTGTAAATCTGTACAAAGAGAGAGAGAGAGTCCTAAGTCAGATTCTTGAATCTCTTTTACATCTCTAACATCTACAAACTTACCAGATCTAAACATTCCAGTAAGAAACAACATGTCTTGGACAACAGGCTGTCTGACAAGCAGTCCGTTACCTTCCCGGGTCATAGAGTAGTCAGGATTGACACCCCAGGGTAGTAGGGTGTTGTTTGAAGGGTTGCACCACCAGGTGGGAATCTTAGGACTGTTGGATGTGAAACTGAAGTTACTGGAGGCCTTGGATCTGAGTAGGTAAGGTGTTCCTTTGGTTTCTTGAAGTGATAGTCAAAGGGTGTCTTGAACCCCCTCAAATTCATCATCATCTTCATAGGAACCTGAATTGAAATTTAATTAGCTTTGAAATCTAGTGAGTTGAAATTTCTTACAGGAAATCAGCTTACTTGAGCTTTCACTTGTGGTGGTTATATGTTCTTTGCCAACATTATTTCCATACTCTGGCTCATCTTGAAGGTACTCCTCCAAAGTAATACCCAACAACATTGCAGACAGCCTATCATATTCATCAGGTGTAACGGTTTTCAAGTACAATGCGGGGGTGAAAATCAAGCTGATGTTACATTTTGGTGCAGGTCCCCAAGTAGCTTATTTTCTCATATGGCATGTGGTCTTTTCCAACACCAGATGATATGTACGTGTCTGAAAAGTCCAGTGGTAGAGTAAATATTTTCTGCAGGCGGCACAAATCAGGTGAGGGGAAGTCAATTCCGTGGCACTATTGGGAAATGTCAGCCCAGGCAACCTTACCAAAAGACTCTGAACAACTGTTATCTGAAAGATTGATGATGTTTGAGAAGGTCCTAACTCCATTATCAACTGTGAATTTGACAGGGGCAGTTGAAATGACAAGCTGAGCAGTGACATTGATACCATAAATGATTTGACGGCCTGAAAATCCACCTGGTGTTGTCCAAGCACGTTCACCCCTGTGGACACTGCTGGAACCCACGTCAAGGGCTTCAACACCGTTCATGCAACACTGGCGTCCCCAAACTTCCGATTGTTATTCACTGGCAAGGTTCTTGTAACAAGAAGCAGGAGGCTCCAGATAGTCCAGGAAAAATTGAGTCAGCAAAGGTTGATTGTTTTGAGGTGGTTCAATGTAAGTATCAGACATTCAAGATTGTTTGACACCAGGATTTGATACCAGCAATGAGCTTTCTTCACGTAGGGGTAATTGGGTCTCATCAGGTGGCAAGGTTTTAATCTCCTTGGCATGGCATGTTCCACAGATTGGAGGATTGCCAGTAAGTTGTAGATACCCAATTGGACAGGTACTGCAGTGCACCATTTTAACACCTGTACTTTCATGTTCTGCAATTCAGTGACCACAGACAGTTGTGCGTAAATGTGGGACAATACGGCTGCAGGAGAGACAGTCAAGCTTTCCGTATGGAGATGGGTCCCAGGCACAGTTCATGTGAGGTGTTGAAGGCGTCATTTTCAAGAATCATGGGGATTTTAGACCATCTGCCAATTTTTGAGAAGCAGGTGGATAGATGATTGAAATTTCTCACCCGCTTAAAGTTTTGAAAACACACCTTCCGTATCTGCAAGATTTGTTGTGAGGGTTCCAGGAGACACTGGTCATTTTCTTTGTATGTCATTCAACACACAGCACAAGTATTGCAAACTCTCCATTATAGTCTTGAACATAAAAATTGGCAGTTCATTTGGAAAGTATTTGTTTCATGTGGATCCCATTGACAACATGCAGTTCATCCTAAGTCATTGTTATGGCCTTTGATGCTTTACAATAGTGTAAACGATTGATTTGTTTTTGCATTTATGATGCTTTCAACATAAAAGTTGATGACTTCTGTTAAACAAATGTGTTGAACAAAAGCATCAAATCAAACCATTTAGAATCAAACATGCAACTATCAAAAGGTCTATGACCCCATCATACAAAAATCTTCTTTCTATATATATATATGGTGACCCAAGTCCAAGTCCATAAAGACCTAGAAGGCGCATCAGTACTCATCTTGAGTCGTTTGATAACTTGAGATTTTGACTAGAATTACAATGGACAAGCAGGAGGCCAATACAGATGGGCCTTGGGTTGACATCACGTCTGTGTTCATCAATGGAGCCCACCGTACAGTCCAGTCCTCTTCCTTCCTGTCCAATGATAAAGAATTCTCAGTGGTGCAAGAATTACATCACCTGATTGACAAAGTTGTTTTAATACATTGATTGGGAATAGTTACAGAACTTGGCAAGGACGAAGTTTTCATCAGCTCCAAGTGATTGGTAATTGATATCATATTGGCTATCTGGGTGTGTGTGCCATCTCCTGATATCATCTTAGAATAGCACTGACTAGTAGCATTTTTACAGGTTATCGATCACAGAATGGATATGGGCATGGGCATCATGAGTGCACAGGACAAGGTGAAATTTGACCCCAAGCAATACCTCACTCCAACTGAAGTGATAACTATATTGGACCTTTCCTTGGCATGCAAAGTGAACAATTTGTAGCAATGTAGGAAACTTTGAAGAATTGATTATAAATGTCAGCCCTGAGTACCAATGGGCAACGTATTGTAATAAAAACCTTAAAAATAGCAATTACAACCCAAGGCACAGTTTCAAGAGTCAAGTTACATGTGAACATACACAACATTGATGCAAATCAAAGCTAGATATATTTCACAGCCGTAACACATATGTAACAAGTGAGATATACTTATAACCCAATAGTAACTGTCTTACTATAATTAACCTAACCATAGAACCACAATTTGTGCGCACTTGTAGTCCAAAGATTTCCAGGGTTCAGACTATATAAAGCCTGAAAATCCAACCAAATTGAGAAGAATCACATTATCACATTATTATTCAACAACTAAACAACTTCGCTTCTATATATCTTCCTAGAACCTTTAAACTTTGCTTATCAATTACCAAACTTTAAAGGCCTGATTCTACAAACCTTGAAACTCAAACCTTGTGTCTTGTTGCTTATTCTGTGTGCTCATTCAACTTTGTTTCTGATTAGACTCCATAATCAGTATTTCTGGTAATATTCATTTGATGGAATTACTTGTAAGGAAGTACTCCTTGAGTATTGCTCATATCAGATTTGGGATTAATCTGATAGGAGAAACTCTAAATCTATGGGGAGAGCTCCATTAGTCAGAGTCTAAATTTCCTGGTGTTATAATAGACCTTAACACCACCTTCTTTGACCTTTCTTTGAATAAGAAGAGGATCAAATTAGGATTGAGACCTGCTTGTCAGTTGCTTTTCTTTTTAATTATTGTAAAGACAATAGTTAACCCAAAATCCCTGGGCTAAAGCCTTTGTTTAAAGGTCAGCTAACTGGAGTCTTTACTTGTTTATTCCAAGTAAAGCTCCTACGCCCAAGTCTCTATCCGTCCATTCTTGTAGATATTGATCTACACAACTTTAGTAGAAGACAATAGACTTTCTACAACCTTTTTATTGACTGTACTAGCCTAACAGGCAATAGTAGGCTCACAATAAAGTCCAACTTATTGCTGCTTTGTGTGGCACACTGGACATGCACTTTCACAGCAATTATTAGTGTCAAATTATCTTATATGTATCAGATTGAGAGCTATTTCATATAAAGATGAATTCATACCAGGATAATTGGAGATTGGGGTAAAAATCAAGACAAACTGTCACATAATGGTTTTTGCATAGAAAGATAATGTGGTTCAAGAGGTGAGATTATGAGTGGTTTGGGAGCTTATGTGAAAAACAATGATCTGGGCCGCTTGTTGTGAGTCTTCAGAAACTCATTGTCAGTGTTTTGTATGAAGCCACATGTTTAGCACCAACCAAACCGGTGTGACAAGGTTGATGCAAAGTTCTCCTACCTCAAAACAAATTGAACAAAAGGTCTTAAAAACCTATTGAAAAACGTAGATGTCTATGTTTATAAATATATATATGTGACAATCAGTGAGATAGAAAGTGAAACATTATAGAGAAAAATTAATAAATTGACATGATAGTAGAACACAAGGTATGATACCAATGAAAAAAAAGATCAATAATGACAAATTTTGAAATGCAAGATAATTTAAAACACTGGAGTTCAATGAATACATATCTTTACAAGTACAAGAAAATTAAATCATCTCATGTTTTATGTCCCTTGAAGAGTGCAATAGTAAGTGAATCTGATCAATCACCACTCAAAGTTCGATATTCTTTGATTCATATCTTTCAAGAGTTTTAATTGCCCAAGTAGCAATTGTTTGAAACATACTTGCATGGTTTTCAGCTCGAGCAGAACTAGCTTGACCTTTTGCAGATATAGCTGCAATTCCTTGTAAATTCACGGCAAGATAAATCCCCCCAAAAATATGAAGAAAGAATTATCAAGATTGAATCATAAGGAATCTTAGATTGGATTTCTTTTAAGAAGAAATTTACTCTAAAGAATGCAAATGAGATTGCTGCATCCCAATTTGGTTTTGGATATTGAACTTTTATTGAATGACAGAATTCTTTCACTAATTCTTCTGCGGTTAACGGAATAAGCAATTGTTAAAATGGTGAATCACTATAAATCCAAAACCAAAGAAACCATTAAATCAATTGTCAAAACTAGCTTTGGCTATGGAACTTTTATTGAATTACAAAATTCTTTAACTAAATCTTCAGCAGTTAAAGGAATGCGCAATTGTTCAAATGGTAAATCACTATAAATCCAAAACCAAAAAAACCCATTAATTAATCAACTTCTTGTAACTTTTTCAAAGATGAATATATATACAATACTAACCAAATACCAATAGCCATTTGAGATTGACCATAAGAAGGTGTCATATTCCAAGGTTGACTTAAATCTGCTAAATCTGAATAAGGATGTCCCTAAGGAGAATTTAAGAATTGAGCAATCAAGCTTGAAATTCTCCTCTTTGTTTTTTTTACTAAAAAAATATTATCTTACAAGAGTTGAAAGTTCCCATCAAAAATAGAAATCACTCTAGGTTCAGTTGGATGAAAAACCTGAAGAAAAAGCCAGAAAGCGCTTTCTGAGTGACTGCTTTTCTACATGTAGAAAAGCAATTTATGTTAAAAAAACAAAAATCTGTGTTTTGTGAAAAATGAGGTCATGAAGTGTTTACTTAAAGTGAAATTCAGGACGGTTAGTCAGTTGATCAAAATGATCACTTTTTCATCTGGTAATGAAAGCTCTTTAAGGGCAAAGATGAGCGCACCTTGATGAAGGCTTCATCCACACCCTTGCCTATCATGTCTAGCTCTGATTCGACATCCACATCTTCTCAAACAGCTTTGAACCTCCTTAAGCTAGTCATTAAGGCCGGTCAAGACTATTTGAAATCAATTATAACTCCTAAAAAACCGTGTTGAACATCAAAACTTAGTGGTAATCAATACACACAAGAGATACTAGAAGAAGCGACATATGATTCCAGAAGTTATGTAGAATGGACAAGCTTACCTTCAAGAGCTTGCTCAAAGCCCTTGAAGGCAAACTTGTTATCCACCGTAAGAGAAGTGTCACAATTGAAGAACAAGTAATGATATTCTTGTTTCTTGTGGGAAACTCTGGGACTAATCAACTTGCTGGCGAGCGTTTCCAACAATCAGGCAACACCATCAGCAAATATTTTAACAATGTATGCTCCGCTATAGCCTCACTTCAATCCATCTATATTGTTCAACCTACCGGCAGCCAGATAATCTCAAATGAAATTCAAAATAATCCAAGTTTCACTCCTTATTTCGACAAATGTGTGGGTGCCATTGATGGCACCCACATCCCTTGCATCGTGCCAGCGGAGCGACGCCCAGCCCACCAAAATCAAAAAGGACTCCTCAGCCAAAATGGTTTGGACGGTTGTTCCTTTAACATGATGTTTACGTTTGTCTACACCGGTTTAGAGGGATGCCACGCCACAGCCCCCATCTACTGGGCTCTGGCAGGCCAGAGCTTACCACGACTTCAAGAAAAATTTATGAAAGCTTCAGAAAGATTTCACCAAAACTTTATGCTAGCACATGCAAGCTTCAGAGGAGCTTCACAAGAGCTCAAGATGAGGCCTGTAAACATCTGAACAGGTCCCCAGGCCAAAAAATGATAATTTGGCCGCAGACCAGAAAAACTAGAGGACCAGCGACAACCAAGGAACGTAGCATGTGCCCGCAACTCTCAAAGATAAATGGGATTCATCACAGGATACATTTTCTGTTTTTTATCAGATGGCCCAGCATGTTGGGACTGTTAGTTGTAACTATAATAGGTTTTATGTTCCGGTTGTTGTTGTGTTGGATCATCCTACATGTTGCATCAGTTGTTTCTGTTTTATGTTGCTGTCCATGTTGATCACCCCATGTCATGTTTGATATTTCTGCTTTATTTCATTGTGTTGGGGCTTAACTATTGTCCCTCATATGTAACACCTTTTTGATTAATTCATTAGGTTTATTTGGAATCGTGTGGAGAAAACAATCAGGATTCCTGAAAAGAAATTTGTCAGCCAGGGCATAAGTACAGACGTACCTATCTCCTGGCTAACATAACTAAGTTACACAAATAAGGACTCTATTCTATGTGTTACGCACTTTTCTATTATCTTA